GTCTCTTGTAGTGTTCTTGTTTCAGTTGAATGATGGATTTTCTGAGCAGTAGAGCGAGTTAGAGCCATGGATGATGAATCCCAGAATAAATCGGAACGTTCTACTGAGTTTTTCTTTTCTGGTATTTTGGCTTTCAAAAATATCTGCCCGTTCGTGTTTTGCTCTATCGCTTATCCTCCGTACACTAATTGAATAAAGGTAGAAAGAGTCACGTGTGTGAGAAAATGCGGATAAGAGTGGTTATCAGTGAGTGACAGACACGGACACAATCACATTAACAAATATCCACATGAATTGTATGCTAAAATAAAATCTTTAGCATATCTTTTTCCTGATAAAGGAGGGATCATAGAGGAAATTTCAAGTACACCGGAGCTCATTCAAAGGGAGTCACAGTTCTAGAATTGTAATAATTTTCATTGAAATCTCAATAAACTAAAATAAGTAATAAAAATCGATAGTTTATATAATATTATTTTTTTGAAAAAAATATAAACTCTCATAATTTCTATCTTGTTAGTGGGCTGGCCCAGTTTTTGAGATTTACAATGCTTGGGCTCTAATTTTATAGGTCCAAGTTAATTCTGACATCTGAGTTTAATGTGAGGGAATACTTTAATATGAATATATGATATCATAATTTTATGTTAAAATCTATATTAACAAATTTATAATTTTTTAATATTTAAAATTACCAAAAACATATCTATTATATTTAAATTAAAATAGCATACATAAATATTTATTAGTAATAACAATTTTATATATGGAATGAAAAGGGACTAATGTTTTTTGGTTAATTTTTGTTTATACACATGATTAAATTGAATACACACTTATAGGTATCAATTAATTGTGATATAGAGATTAAATTGTAAGTTAATTAATGCACAAAAAATTATTTGTGATACATAAATTAATTATAATTATAATATCTCAATAATACTTAAAATTAAAATTATTTCGATATAATAACTACACCATTATTTTGCAGTCTAGAAACTAGTGTTATTAAAACGGTTGGAAGACGTGAGTCAACCTGGTCCACGATAGATTCAAGTCGAGTTGGATTGAATTTTGTTTTTTCAAATTTTGATACGGGTCAATTTTGAATCTGGCTCACTAAGAATACGACTCACTCGGATTAAATCTATAATAAGTCAAATTGACTCACCAATCCACCTAATTTTTCTCGTAAGTATTTTTTGTTAGATTAGTCATTTTACAAAGTATTGAAACGGAGACTCATAGAAAATTATTTTTGTATAGAATAACTAAATAACATGAAAAATCTACCAATCTCTACTTAGTAACTTAATTTTATGTAGAAACAAACTTAAATCGATATGAAACCATTAAAAATTTTGTTGAGAAGATTTGGTGATATTTTTGTGTGAATGAAATCTTATGTTTGATTGATCATAAATATTATTGAAGATCATTTTTCCTTTATTTAAATTTGAATTAAAAAATTTTTATTATTTTTTTAATTGAAAAAAATTTGTAACAATCGTTTAAACCATCAACGGTATGAGATTGAGTTCGCCGAGTTAGATTAGATTGATTCTAACCAATATAATCCCTACTAAAAACAATGACTTGGAAGGTCAATGTAAATTACTTGTAAGAATTTGATTGGGTGTTAAAACATTAGTTTTTTACTTTTTGGAGAGGAGTAAATCATTACTATATTGTTTATTAATCCACTTTAATAATATATTAATAAAAAAATATTAAAATTTTAAGTTGTGAGTGCTTATTTTTGTGGGAAAAAATCACCACCTCACTAAAACAGCTGTCATTTCTCTGGTTTTGCTTGAACGTATAAAATATTCAGTCTCTTAAAACTTATCTAGGATCAAAAGAAAGGCGTAGACCACTCCATCCTACTATGCTGCAAGTTCTTCGTCTCCGAGTCCCGCAGCACGGCCAATCTGGACGTAATTGAACGCGCTGCGAGGTCAAATCCGGAAACAGTGATTGTGAACAAGTTTCTCGATGGAGCATACAACAGAGCGAGGTACACTCTTGTGTCGTATGTTCTGCACGACTGCAACGGAAGTGTTGTGTACAGTCCCTTGCACCAAACCGTCATAGCCATGGCTGAGGCTGCCTTCAACGCCATCAACCTCGAATTCCACGACGGCGCTCATCCTCGTTTAGGCGTAGTGGATGACATCGTTTTCCACCCTCTCGCAGGTGCATCACTACATGAGGCAGCATGGCTCGCCAAAAGAGTTTCAGCAGATATAGGCAACCGATTCAATGGTCAGTATTAAATTACTCCTTATTCAAGATAATATATATTTAAATAGTTACGATTTCAGTCATATAAAAGTTACATTTCATATTCTAATAAAATATTAATTGTTTTCTTTCTTTTAAGTATAAAAACTAATTACCTTTTCTTTCTTCTTTATAAGTAATAATTAGTAAATACACATGCACGATATATATGTGTTATTTTTATTATTTTGTTATTTTTATATTATAATAAAAGTTTTATTAAATTATAAAATATTTTTTTAATTTTTAAAATAAAAAATAGTAATAAACCATAAAATAACTTTTACAAAAGAATGATTACAAAAATGAATACTTTTAATAATTTTTTATTGTATAAATGGTTTTGTTTATTTTTATTTTTAAGATGTTACATTCATCCTTAAATTGTGGAATAGACGGAATAATATATATAATATATATAATGTATAATATATTATACATTTATAAAGAACTGATGGTTTTAAAGTTGAGATTTGAATAATTGATCTTCATATAATTACTAATCGTATTGGGAATGAAAAATAACTCTTAAATACTTTTGGTTCTACACAAATAATTTTATTTTGTGTTTTTGATAAAAAATATAACTTTTAATAATTTTTTATTTTATATTTTGTTCTAAAAAGATACGTGAATACATTTATTTTTATTGTTCAAAACTCTCTAGATCTTCTTTTGGACAATTGTTTTTACAGGTAAACAATTTGAAATAAAATATTTAAGCATTGAAATAGTCAGTAAATTTACATCGAAATGTGTATATTAAGTGTAAAAGGGCTTGATTTTCTAAGAGTTAAATTCTAAATAAACAAGTTTTTTTATTCTCGATTAATTGTAAAACTTTTGTTAGAATCAAATAAAGCATAATACACGCATGAAATTTTGAGGTGTTTCTTGTATTTGTTTTCAATAAAAGTTAGAATTGTAACTTTATAAAATAAAAGTTTGCATAGTAATTAAATTACAAATTACTTAAGTAGAAATTTAATTCTAATTGAAGGATGACATTAAGGTACAAAAAGAATTGTGTTTTCTACGAAATAAAAACAAAAATTTTAAACAGAAAAAATATTATACTAACTCACTAGTCAGTTTGGCAAATTTCTCTTTTAGACAAATTTAATTACATATATCTTTCTACGAAGCGCCCTTAATTATTTGTAAGGGCAATAGTAAGGAAATAAAGATACAACAATCCCAGTGAAAAGCAAATTAAATTAATATAATGCTTTAATTCAGGCCACTTACCCACTTTAAAAGAAACGAATTTGAAGATATCTTAAACTTTTTTATCATAACACATTTTTACATTCATATTTAATACACAATACAAAAATAAAATGGTCATATAAAAATATAAATTTTTATATTTTGTATAGAAAAAAAGAATAAAAAAAAGGAAGTGTTGAATGTAAGAAATTTATGTGTCAAAATATTATTATTATTATTATTATTATTATTATTATTATTATTTTTACTAAAAAACTTTATTTTCTTACCTTTCAATACCTGAATGCAGTGCCAGTGTTTCTGTACGCCGCAGCTCACCCAACAGGGAAGGAGCTGGACACTATAAGGCGAGAGCTGGGCTACTACAGACCCAATTTCCAAGGTAGCCAATGGGCTGGATGGGCCATGGCTGACACCGTCCCGCTGAGCCCTGACGAGGGACCCAACGTGGTTTCACGGGCCAAAGGCATCACGATGATCGGTGCACGCCCTTGGGTTGCACTCTACAACGTGCCGATCCTGTGCACTGACGTGTCAGCAGCAAGAAGAATCGCACGGAAGGTGAGTGGTCGCGGTGGTGGGCTTCCAACAGTGCAAACGCTTGGGCTTGTACACGGCGAGGACTCCACTGAGATAGCCTGCATGCTGCTCGAACCCAACCAGATTGGCGCAGACAGGGTGCAGCACCGGGTGGAGACGCTGGCAGCACAAGAAGGACTTGATGTGGAAAAGGGTTACTTCACTGACTTTTCTCCCGAAATGATTCTGGATAAATACATTAAATTAATCACTGCTAACAGATCCTGAATGTGTGTTTGTGTATTGACTACTAAAAAAGGTTATCATAATCACACTGCGGGGTTGCCATTTGCAATTACAAAATTGGAATACGGGGACTCAATCTTCACACAATTCAGTGTTTCGGGTGTTGGGGAAACTGTCTTTAAAGAAGTCTGGTATTTCCAAGAAGTTAATCCTTGGTGAGTACATATGAAAGGTGTGTTGATGTAAAAGTCACTTCAACTTTGTTTGGTTTAAATAATTAATAGAGCAATAAATCTCTGTAACAACCATATAAATTTTTAGTTTTTCTCATAAATTTTTAATTAGGATTAGTTTAATCACAGACTTAATGTTCTTAAATCTGATAACTAATTTGTTTACGCTTTTCACAATAGTTTGATTTTGTCCAATGTGATTGATCGATCGTCGTTTAAGCCTAATTAAGTGGTCAGTATTATCGATCACCAGTAGTACAAAAACTATAAATAATGCTAAGAATAAAGACCAGGCTGAAGATAGGGATTAGGTCGGGCTCTTGAGAGCCATAGCAGGTCCATGGTCGAGGAAATCTAGGTTGTAAAGTAATTGAAAAACACTATAAGGGGTGAACAATGTTAAGGAAAACTTTTTGCCAAAAAGACGTTTAACAANAGGACTCCACTGAGATAGCCTGCATGCTGCTCGAACCCAACCAGATTGGCGCAGACAGGGTGCAGCACCGGGTGGAGACGCTGGCAGCACAAGAAGGACTTGATGTGGAAAAGGGTTACTTCACTGACTTTTCTCCCGAAATGATTCTGGATAAATACATTAAATTAATCACTGCTAACAGATCCTGAATGTGTGTTTGTGTATTGACTACTAAAAAAGGTTATCATAATCACACTGCGGGGTTGCCATTTGCAATTACAAAATTGGAATACGGGGACTCAATCTTCACACAATTCAGTGTTTCGGGTGTTGGGGAAACTGTCTTTAAAGAAGTCTGGTATTTCCAAGAAGTTAATCCTTTTGGTGAGTACATATGAAAGGTGTGTTGATGTAAAAGTCACTTCAACTTTGTTTGGTTTAAATAAATAATAGAGCAATAAATCTCTGTAACAACCATATAAATTTTTAGTTTTTCTCATAAATTTTTAATTAGGATTAGTTTAATCACAGACTTAATGTTCTTAAATCTGATAACTAATTTGTTTACGCTTTTCACAATAGTTTGATTTTGTCCAATGTGATTGATCGATCGTCGTTTAAGCCTAATTAAGTGGTCAGTATTATCGATCACCAGTAGTACAAAAACTATAAATAATGCTAAGAATAAAGACCAGGCTGAAGATAGGGATTAGGTCGGGCTCTTGAGAGCCATAGCAGGTCCATGGTCGAGGAAATCTAGGTTGTAAAGTAATTGAAAAACACTATAAGGGGTGAACAATGTTAAGGAAAACTTTTTGCCAAAAAGACGTTTAACAAATTTAATTATGATTAGACAGTCTACAAAGTTGTGATTGATTTGTAAAACACTACATGTCTAAAGATAAATAGTTTTTCAAGCGTTTTAACAAACCTACTGTAGTCTTTTAAGAAAGAACGCCTTTGAAAAAAAATTGGCATTGAATGACAATCCTATTTGTCAATGACTAATTTTGCAAGAACTAAAGTGTTTGTAAATAATATGTTTTGTGAAAATAAAGCAATAAACACACAATTGTTTTAAACTGGTTTATAACTAAGTATTAGCATAATTTTTTCTTGTTTGAGTTTCACCCACCGTTGGTTTGCGATACAACACCAATGAGACATGATCTCAACTCACACATAAGGGATTAACACTACCTCCGACCCAAAACCTTAAGGAAATTGGTTTATGGGTTTTCATTCTTATATCGTGTTCAACTTTCTTATTTTTACTCAATATGAAACTTCGACTCACTTGGATTCCTAGCATTCTTCTCATCAAGTTGAGTTTTAAACTCAAGTTTTGATTTCCAACAAAATCAATGAATTTTCTTGATCTCAGTGCAAGTCGCATAAGATAATCAACACCTTAGTAGCAAAACCAACACCTTTTCCAATAAACGGTGCGCAGCATAAGCTTTCGTAGCAAGGTAAACTCTTCGAAATGGAACTTCTTTGGGTTACTATCTTTCTCATGTAAGTTATACAATGGCTACTCTTACCGTGCACAAAAAATCTGTTAAAAAGTATAGCAGAAAACAGAAGCAAATTAAGCAAGGAGTCATTGTTGAAAACTGTACAGATTACTATACATAGGTGAAAACTCTCAAATCCCAAATTCTATTATTGACAATTTAAGTACCATATATTTATATAAACGTTATTCTTCTGACAAGTTGAAGGAGCCAGAAGGACATTTCCAACAAAATCTTCGGTCCATCACTAAGGAAAATACATAACTCAATCTATAAGTCAATGTCAACAATCAGATTCTGTACAGTCAGAAACAAGCATCACTCTTGGAGATGCTACTATGATGCTAATGTTACAACAAGTTCACTGCAACTCGGGAACTTGCATTTGAAGAAAATTCAACTTTCTTTCACTCTTCACCAACTTAAATAAGACACAAGGTGTTTAAGAAAATCATCTTGGCCCAGAAAGTTCCATTGCTTGTGCAAGTAATGAAGAATCATCAGTGAGATCAGAGTAGCGCTCTGAAGAAGAAAGTTCATTTCCTCTGCTTCTTGTGGATTCTGCTCTCTGCGAGGCTTCCCATTTCTCTGCAAGCCCATCTCCTTCAAGCATCCTAACCACCTCAGACATCTTGGGTCTGTGACTTGGAAGGTACTGAGTACATAAAAGAGCCACTTGCACAATTTCATCAAGCTCAATCCTATCATAGTTGTTTTTCAGGTCCTTGTCAACCAACAAGTCAATTTTCTTCTCTTGATGAATTTTCTTCACCTGCAAGTATAGTGAATACATTTAGGACACATGACATTATAACTCAGTTATACTGAAATAAATTACGAAAGAAATTACTTTGACTGGTTTATCTATTAATATTTTTCATTAGGTAAGTAAAGAAATAGGCAACAAAAGGGCATGTATGTTGGGAATTCAAGTGTGAATACAAGTCCCCCATTGAATAGAAATGAGAAAGTAAAAACTATATAAAGGTGAAAGATCCATTAATCCATTGTTTTGATGTTTTGGATAGAGAGTGATGTCAACCCTTATTTGGTTGGATTCATATTTCATCAGTGTTTGTATCTTCCCAGTGAACCTCTTACTTGATAGATCCAACTCGAAAACCTTTTTGGTTAGTTTTAGTCCTCCTAAATATAACCATTTTAAAAGGTTACTATAGTAATAAAAAATTTGTAAAAACTAATGCCAATATTCACTTTATCTGAGGACTAACCAACATATTAAAGAAGAAATAAATTAATTCTGGTCGGCTCACCCAGTCTAACATGGCTCCTTTCTGGTTTGCTGCTTTTCCAAACTCAAGTGCTCTTTGGCCAGATATTAGTTCAAGAAGAAGAATTCCAAATCCAAAGACATCTGTCTTCTCAGAAGATTGACCTGTTGAGAGATACTCAGGGGCTATGTGTCCCACAGTGCCTCTCACTGCTGTTGTCACATGTGAATCCCTGTGATCTAAAAGCTTTGCCAGCCCAAAATCTCCCACTACAGCTTCACAATAATCATCAAGCAAGATATTTGCTGCCTTTACATCCCTGTGAATAATCTTTGGATCACACTGTTCATGCAAATATAGCAAGCCTCTTCCAGCTCCTAAAGCTATTCTCTTCCTGGTAGGCCAGTCCAATGCTGGCTTGGCTGTTTCATATAAAGGTAATGAATACTCCTAATTCATAAAACAAATGATACACACTGACACCAATCTGGCAGGATAAAATTGCCATACCTTTCAGACGAGAAGCGACACTTCCATTTGACATGTAAGGATAAACCAAGAGCCTCTCTGTAGTTGTCATGCAGAATCCATATAGCCGAAGAAGATTCCGATGGACGGCTAAGCTGATCATCTCAACTTCAGTCTGGAATTGGATCTCACCTCCAATAGCGTTACCATCTTTGAGCCTTTTTACTGCTATAACTGTACCATCCTGAAGATACCCTTTGTAGACATGTCCAAAACCACCTTTGCCAATCATGTTCTTGCTGCTGAAGTTGTTTGTAGCAAGCTGAAGTTCTCTGAAATGGAACTTCTTGAGGTTTCCAAGAAAAACCTCTTCACGGTGTTGTTCTGAAAGAGGAAGAAGAGTTTAGTTAATGAAGATTAAACCAATAATATACATACCAAGTTGGCCTGTGAATACTTCAGTTCATAATCCACTAACCATTAACATCAAAGAATATTTGCTTGTTATGCCTTTGTCTCCACCATATGAGGAAGCCAAGTCCCAGAATTAGTAAGCATATGCAACTTAAGCTTGAGGCAAACGCCAAGGCTACTTTGTGACTCTTTGGTCTTTTGGTGGATTGGGAATCTTGGAAAGCATTTGAGAAAGTTGCATGAAAAAAGAAAAAAAAAAGTAAACACGGGTAGAGAATGATGGAAGCAATGATTATAAACACGTTAAGACAACTTAGAAGATGATAGTTTTTAACTGTTTTGTGAAATAATTATGCACCCTAAAAAAGTACTTTTCGACTAAGTTTTAGACCAAGTCCAAGTCTACTTTATGACCGATAAGAAGAAAAAAGCTTTAGATTCAACATCATGAGGGTGAAAAAGCATACACAAATCTAAAACATGAAAGAACTATAATTACCTTGAGAATTATTGGGAGCCAAAGGAATTGACGTTGTCCTGAAGCAGTTCTGCTCGACTCCAGCGGCACATATCTGAGGATTGCCTACGATGCTGTTTCGAAAGAAGGAAAAACATACAATTAATTAATAAGACGTACACATAATTTATATCATTTTAACTCACGTTGGGAAAACNGCTGAAGTTCTCTGAAATGGAACTTCTTGAGGTTTCCAAGAAAAACCTCTTCACGGTGTTGTTCTGAAAGAGGAAGAAGAGTTTAGTTAATGAAGATTAAACCAATAATATACATACCAAGTTGGCCTGTGAATACTTCAGTTCATAATCCACTAACCATTAACATCAAAGAATATTTGCTTGTTATGCCTTTGTCTCCACCATATGAGGAAGCCAAGTCCCAGAATTAGTAAGCATATGCAACTTAAGCTTGAGGCAAACGCCAAGGCTACTTTGTGACTCTTTGGTCTTTT